GATATAGTTTAAAGATTGATAATAAAAATCTACTTGCCTTTTTTTCATCCTTGGGACCACAGGCTTACCATCCACAAAGCCCTTCTCTCTCTCAAATTTCTTCTGTGTTGTGCTCCTATAATGAATGAAATGAATGAAAGCCAGGCTCAATAAATCCAAATGTTTAGCAACACTAAAAACAACATTTCCTGAGCTGGCTTTTATTCATTTCATTTATAGGAGCACAACACAGAAAAGAATTTGAGAGAGAGAGAAGGGCTTTATGGATGGTTAGCCTGTGTTGGGAGCTGGAATTAAAAAAAAAAATAAAACAATTATTAGAAAAATATAAATTATAAGAATCATAAAATGATATACAAATTGAAGTAAAATGATAATTTGAAATAATACTAGCCTTTCTTCATCCTTGGGAATTGCTGTGAAGCTGGTTGAGTTCAGTGAAAATGTTTGTTAACCATTTAAGCTTAACATGAAAACCCAATGTCAATGTCAATGGAAAATCATCACAAGTAAAACAAAATAGAAAATAACCTTGAAATGAGTTGAAAAAAGTTATACAGGCACCAGTTTGAGCTTCTGTACTGTTCTCCATCAGTTTAAGGATTATGAGACTTAAAGGCCATAACCCAGACAGAACATAACTCACAAGTACTCTAGAAACAGCTGGTGCAAAAAAATTATTACAAAATGTTTGCCATTCTCATTCTCCTAGGATGTAACTCAGCAAATAAATCTATTATACGTTCAAGGTCAAAATCCATGTCTCTGTGGGCATGCATCAGTGCCAATCCATTCAGTCTGTCCTGGGTCATTGTATTTCTCAAATAGTTCTTAAGATTCGAAGGGATGATATGGATCTCTCACAAGATGCAGATGAAATTGGAATTGTGATCAGGACTTTCAGCATGGAATAGATGTTGACATATGCATCTTTGTCAATATCCTTCAGTGTAGCCTCCAAACTGTCAGGAATAATATCTCCTCTGTTATTCCTCCCTTCCACAATCTCTCCCATAACAAAAGCTCTGCCTGTAATCCTGCATAATTTGGTATGTCCTGTCTGTAATGGTTACAAAATTCCAAAACATTGGCCTTCCAGGCAGGGTCAGTAGCTAGTAAAACAGAGGGAATAATCGAAATACCTTTATAGCAAACAAATACATCATCCTGGAATCTGGTGTTGAGCTGCTGGAGTACATGGTTAAGAAAAACTCTAGTGAGATTGATCTTGAAATACCCCTCAGGAGTTGCAGCAGGAGCATTATTTCTATGCATTTGTCTCTGGGCTATCCTTGGCATTTCTGGCTGGACTGCTACTTGTCTTGCAATGGTCACTGCTTCCTGGTAGAGATTATGATGTCTGTTATCAATGTCAGTGCTCATGTCTTCAAGGACTGATTTCAAAAGAGCAAGTTCATCTTTAGCTTTTAGAAGATCCATTGCTTTTTGTTGCAGCTTCACTGTGAGTGGTCTAGTTAATCCCAAAATATGTCTGACAATAACAAGAGAAACAATAAAGGAAAAGTTGATTGCATTAATTAAGGACTGAGCATCATGTCTGCTTGTTGGATTCAGGTTGAGTCTCCAGGGCTGTTTCTGTTAAGTGAGATGTCTTCAAGTGTAGCTGTGACTGGGTAGAGAAGTTCAACTATGCGGTCCATTCCATCAATCCGTTCAATCCATCGTGTGCGGCACACATTAATTAAAACAGTATGGTTTGCCCGAGGCAATAGTTCTCTGATCTTGGCTATTATATGTTGTTGACGCTTGGGAGAGTTGTTAAAAAAATTAGAAATCTTGCGCACAATATCCATCATGTTGCTGGCAATTGGCAATTGGCAAGTGTCTGCTATGCACAAATTAAGCCTGTGGTTCATGCAGTGGACATAGATTGCCTTTTCGTGTTCTGCACTGATCAATGAGGAGGCTCCATTTAGTCTTCCAGCCATATTGCCTGCACCATCATAACACTGCCCACGACAGTCTTCCATTGTCAATCCTAAGTTTGCTACAGCTGCAGTTATAATGTCCTTGATAGCCTCCCCTGTTAATCCCTCCTCACAAATGTAATACCCAATAAATTCTTCTCGGATGGTTTTAGTTGTATCCAGAAATCTTATTACTACAGAAACATTCTCCTTATTTGAAATGTCAGCAGCTTCATCTGCCATAACTGAAAAATACTTACTATTTCTTATTTCCTGTGATAGATCATTCAAAATGTGAGCACCAACAGTTTCTATCATTTCATTCTGAATGGTCTTTGAAATGTATGTGGCATTTCTGGGTGCAGTGTCCAGGTGTTGCTGCAGTGTTTGGTCACCACTGTCTACCCGGAATTCTAGCGATGCCTGGAAATTACCGGTTAGGGCAGCATTAGTGGGATCATCATCTCTCCGCCCCTGAGTGGGATGTTGTTTTTCCCACAGAAAATAATAGTTTTGAAAAGGGACTTTAGAATCTCCCGATTTCTCGCGATTTGCTGTTGAACTATGTTATTTAACTGCTGGTCAATTGGGACAGCTCCTCTTTCCATCATTCTCTTGAAATCATTCATGGCAGTCATAGAAAAATTGTGAATTTCACAATTTCCTAGCGAGTGTTTGGTTAAGCGAGAAGCGGCCGAAGTCCAATTTGTGAGAGGAGACTTCAATAATTTGTCTAACTTATTAGCGTTTCGCCCACACTGAACTCCAAAACAAACACAAGCTAAACAAAATGCTCCATCGAAATATTTGGAGTAAGCTAGCCATGGAAATCTTTTCAGCCAGCCCGAGACAAACTTACGAGATTTTCCATTTTCCATTGACACGGGGAAATCAAAAAGCTCACCTGGTTTCCACACGTTTTCGACGAACTCCAGCTTCTGATGCGGCGAGTAGTTGTGGATCTCGTCGAAAACTAGGCCAATGTCGAAGGGAGAACCCTAAGCAAGTTCAAAAGTACTTGTATTGTAGGAGCAACGAAAGAGACCCGCTGGGGGAGGAACTGCCCATTTTATACTTTGTCAGTAGTTTCCAAGGTAGTTTCCAAACACAACTAGCCAATCAGAAGAGTGTTTTGAGTGAGTTCCGATGACGAAATCTTTGCTAGCCAATCGTGAGGGGTTTTGACTGTGTTCCGACTGTTATTGTCACCAAATAACAAGGACTTACACCCACCGGTTGCGTAAAGATTGGCTCCACGAACATTTTCCGACGGCTTCCGACGGTTTCCGAGGTGTAATCGAAGCTCGAAAGGCCAGCGCGTGATCCGGAGCGCTCCCGAACGCCTCATGACCGCAATTATAACGAAATTAGTCATTCTAAACGTATTTTCTTTAATAAATAACTGTAAAACAGGAAGATGGTTTATTTCTGGAAGACGTTTAGTGATTTCCACAAAAGTATCAGTAGTTTCCAAAGGGAAATTAGAGTGTTTTTCAAAAGTACTTTTATCAACATTTAACTAGGTCGGAAAAAATTTGAGTGAGTTCCGGAAATCAGGTAAACTACCCTGGATCCACCCCTGTAATATACAGTTTACCTAAGTAGGTAGATCAGAATGCTATTGACTGCAACCGATTGGGATCAAAACATTTTCTGAAGATTGTTCCTGCTGCTTCAAACACTGAAATTTCACTTTTCAGTTCATGATTGTAAGCATATATTTTTCTGAGAAACCTTTTAAAACTTCACGCTTGATTTGACATGAAGTAACATTACATTTTTGATTGCTTTAAATAAAACTTGTGAGGAAAGGCGTAAGGAGTGCAAACTAGTGTGATGGAATAACTGTTGAGTATATGATAGATAAAACATTATGTCAACTTGCTCGTGTTTTTCGTGATTTATGGGCACGAGTGATGTTTCGAGAGTTTTCAAATTTGCACTTGCCCACGGCGCATGCAAATTTGAAAGCTTTCTAAACATCAATCGTGCCCATAAATCAGGAAATGCACTCGAGTCTATACAATTTCCTATGAATACCCGAAAATTCCACAAGAGCACTTAACGTTAAATTAACAATATAATACTTTTTTTAAACAATGCTCAATTTCCTGGGCCCGAGATTAAAAAGACAAAACTCACAATTCAGGTATTGTTTACCACAAGAGAAAGTTCTTCCTTCGGGATTGTACCTTTTGGCCCATGGAAATCATATTTAAGAATTGCGCCACCATTTCAAGTGGGAAATTCTACTGTTATCGGGGTGATGCAAGACTTTTTTTAATGGCCTTTATGAACTTCTTGACAAACACAAATTTCCAGAGACTCCATGGGGTAAATTCATCGATTGCATTGTTTGCTGACCTTACCAATCTACCGAACGTTTTGGGTGCTATCGACGGCTCTCACGTCAGAATGAGAGCACCTACTGCTCTCGAAAGCCCTCCAGATTATTTCGTTGGGTACCAACAGATGCAGTACCCTTTCTCAAAGAGCTAGGCTCGGGGACAGCCTAAGCCAGTCAAATGTGAATGTGAAATGGATCTCTACGTTTTAGGTGATAGTGCCTATCCCTCTTCCCCTTGGCTAATGAAACCATATCCAGGAGGCACACGGGACCCAAGGAATATAGTATTTAACAAGAACCTTTCCTTTGGAGGAGTTAAGGTCGAAAGTGCATTTGTCGTTCTGAAAGATAGATGTAGAATACTTTCCAGGTCGTCATCTCGTTACTACTGTTTTATTGCTATCGTTATTATTAATATCATAATAATTATTATTATTATTATCATCATTTTTTTATTCATTCATTTTTATCAGTGCGTAAGAACTGTGCCGAGCTGTACAAATCTGGTGAAATAACCAGCGGTGTTTATAAAATCAACCCGGATAATGCTTTACCTGACTTTAAAGTGTTTTGTGACCAAAAAAACGCCGGCGGGGGATGGACAGTAGTCCAAAGGAGGCTAGACGGCTCTTTGGGTTTCGACCGCAACTGGTCTGACTAAAGGAATGGCTTTGGTAACCTTGATGGCGAGTTTTGGTTCGGAATGGAAAAGATACACCGCTTGACAAAATCCCCGAGCAAGCTTCGAGTCGATCTAGAAGATATTGACAGCAACACTGCTTACGCCGAATACGACATGTTTGCAGTAGCGACTGAAAGTGAGAAGTATCAGTTGAGCGTTGGGAAATATTCAGGTAAATTGTTTGAAGCAAATGAAAGTAATTGCTTTAATTTAACTAGTGCCATTTAGTGGTTTCGAGAACGGCCTAAAAGTTTTTTGTTCATTTGTATCAAGTGCAGTGTCGCCACATAGGCATTATCCATGAAGACTAGTAGTATTAGTATTTACTTTTTAAAACTATAACTCAGTTTTGTCGACCGAGGGTAACGGTGATTTGTGTCTTTGCTTCTTAGGTAAGGTTGCATGGATTACATGACGTCTCTGGGAATATCTCGCAAGAGCTAATTTTGAGTTTTTCTTTACTCTAGGAACAGCTGGCGACTCCCTTACTCAACATCATGGCTATCCCTTTTCAACCAAGAATTGGTGCCATGACAACATTATAACCTGTGCTGAGCTGCTTAAAAGGGGCTTGTTGTCTGCTGACTATTCTTTCTTAAACCTGAACGGTGTCTATCGTCATGGAAAGGACTCAGCCACTTTTGGAGTTTTCTGGTATCACTGGAAAAGATACCACCGTTCTGTGAAGAGGGCTGAGATGAAAATCAGACCGCTGGATTTTTAGAGTATACATGCTAGCTTACTAAGAGAGATGGAATTCAAAAGTAATTTCGGGTAAGTAACATTATTGACAAGTCATAGGCTTCGAATCATTCTCAGCCTTCCAAGGCAAAATATTTTTAATGGCGACTGTGTCGATGCGTCTGTCTTCCAATTAATCACAAGTAAGAACCGAGCGAAATTCATGTATTATTTAACTTATAACTTAATGAAAGTGAATAGAACACACATGCAGATCCTTGATGTCGCCATTTTTTTACCGCGTCTCTCCTGATGTTTGCAATTCATCGATCGCGCCTTCTTTTGATAATTTGTTCTGTGAGTGCACGTTAATGTTCAATTATGATTGGAATTTTTTAAAATGATACATTAGTTTCTCTGTTTGAGCGATTGAAGAACCTACAACGCAGTAAAATCTCTCCATCGTCGCAAATGCACCCACAACTGGCAGCCCATAAAGCGACATCCGGTGAGGCCGGAAAGTATATGTTTGAACTCTGGTACAAATCTTCCATGTCTATCTCTGTTGTTTCTCATTGGACTCATGCTGACCTGATTGCATTTCATGTTTAGCAGAGAATCAGAAGTAAGTCATCGCTTTCATGAGGCTTGTTACTTGGTCCCGTTCAAGGTCAAGTTTAAGCGAGACTATAGCGAGATTTGTCAGGAAAAAATCCAGAGCTTTCCCCTTTCTTCCGCGCAAAGTTTCGTGCCGAAAAACTTTTTATATTCGGCCCGTTTACTTACAATACTCAGTCAGGCTCGAGCTTTCTTTGGTGTTATAAGTATATATTGTATTTTTGAGATCTAGCGTCCCCCCTCCCGGTATAGAAATGTATCTACAAATTCTCCCTGTCAGCACCTTAGGAAATGTAAAGAGAATAGTATGGAGAATATGGATACTGATGTTAGGGTGTAAAGGGTGAAACTGAACGGTTAAAGATGCTAAGTTTGTCAGATGTGATATAGTTACCGACTATAATAAACCATTAACATAATGACAGTGAGATTTGTGTAGATGATAACTCTCCACTGTGGATATGCAATTAGTGAAACCAGAAGCAGGGATTAGAAAGGAGTACTCGTGTTTTAACTTCAAATTTGGCTATTAGGTTTCATCTCTAAATGGCATGATTCTAGTATATTAAGGATTCCTAAATTTAATCAAGAAATGTTTCAAACTGCAATAGCTATTAAATTGAACAGTGGACTGAGACTTTCTTTAGCTTGTACTAGTGAGATGTTAGAATCAATGGTCAAACAGTGATAACCATGGTCAGTAAAAACTTGACCTGTAATAATGTTCATCTAGAGAAAATTACCTCCCTTTCCCCAAAAAATGAAACGCCAGAGAAAGGTAAAAAATGATACCTTTTGGCACAACTTACCAAAAACCCATGTTTTATCCTTTTATTTAACCTGAAGGCGGAGTAATACAACGAAGGGGGGGAGTCCTGAGGCAGAGGGGGACAAAAGTACGTGAGGTGGGAAGCTGTGACCCCCCTGTGCCCCCCTCCCCCCTCTCATTTCTAAATGGCATAATTCTAGTATATTAGGGATTCCTAAATTTATAATTAATCAAGAAATGCTTGTAACTGCTATGGCTATTAAATTGAACAAAGGACTGAGACTTTCTTTAGCTTCTATATAGTGAGATGTTAGAATCGATGGTCAAATAATAATGAGTAAAACCTTGGCCTGTAATAATGTTCATCTTGAGAAAATAACCTCCCTTTCCCCAAAAAATGAAACGCCAGAGAATGGTAAAAAATGATACCTTTTGGCACAACTTACCAAAAACCCATGTTTTATCCTTTTATTTAACCTGAAGGCAAGAGTAATACAATGAAGGGGGGGAGTCATGAGGCAGAGGGGGACAAAAGTAAATAATGTGGGAGGCTGTGACCCCGTTGTCCCCCTCTATCCCCTTTCTCCTTTGGCGGATACTGGATAGACAACTCGAAAGCCCTATAATGCAATGGTGCAACCATGCCTTGAAATTATTAACCAAGCCTTTGAATTTGTTGCACCCTTACTAATAGCACTCTCATTACAGTTATGAAAATATTAATTTCAATATCAATTCAATATTATTATTATTATTATTACTTTTATTCTGAAAAAATGCCCATTCTGATACCAGCATTATGCTCAATGCTCCGACAATAACATTACGCCCAAAATTATGTCGGCGTAATGTATTTAACCCTAGCTCTAAAACTCTACTAGTCTGCCTTTTATCTCAGCTTTCCTGGCACAGTAATGGTAACCTTTCCAGTGATACCAGTTGACTCCATCAGCATACGATGAGTGCTTCCCATAATGATAGTAACCATTGAGGTTTGAGCTATGACAGTCTAAGTACCACAAGGCTCCTTTAAGTTCCTTGGCACAGTTACGTCACAGCTGTCATTTTCCTTATCTCTAGTTGTAAGCTGGTAAGGGGAAGCCATGATGTTGAGTAAATGAGTCACCAGTAGTTCCTGAAGCTTCGAATCGATCGGTGCATTATAACACTGGATATCCGCCGATTTCAGCTGGGGTCACGCGAAACACATCACAATTATCCTCGAACTTCGCTCTCGGAAAGCTGTCCGCTTCTTTGAACAGATAATGTCCACTGACACATATCAATACAGATTTGCGCTCCAAATCGAATGGAATTCAATTCTATCGCATAAAAATATATTCTATCTGATCAAATGTATAGCAACGCAAAGCTACGTACGTTCACCACGAATTTCAACAACATAATTCAAACTGAACCCCATTGTGATGCTTATTGCAATCTAATTTGCTGATGGAACATGCGACGCTAAAATTTACAACTTCACATTACCTACCCGCCAGTCCTTTAAGCATATTGAACTTTCTAACCATAAAAGTCTTGAGGCGTGCTTCAAAGGTTTTCGTAGCCTCCTCGATGACAGTTCTGGAACTTTGTTCCTTCTGATCAAGCTTTTTACCCACAAATTTTTCGAAGCGGGCCTCTAATGATTTAATGACGTCGCTGATGAGCTTCTTGTATATTATTTGCTTTTAATTGAGTTTTCAGCCAGAGTTTCTTCTGAGGATTTGATAGCTTCGCTGATGTGACCTCTCGCATTATGTTCGCTCTTCTCAAATCTCTTCTTAAGAGCTGCTTTTAGGGATTTGATGGCTCAATGATGTGAACTCTGGTATCTCGTTTGCTCTGTTCAGATTTTTTCTCCAAATTTGCTTCAAGAGATACGAATCTAATAAGAATTGAATTTTGCAATGTGGAAAAAGTCGTGCATGAATGATACACAGCACCTACAACAACCGCAACCACAATTGTTATTGTACTGGACAGTAAAATAAACCGTGCCTTCGGAATACAGTTGTTAAGTAATTTCTTAGGTATTCCAAATCTCTGATCATCAGTACACTGGCTTATCACCACTACTTCCTGAGTTTCTATGTTCAAAACAGGCTCGTACAGAAAACTAAAAAAAAAAAAAAAGGAACACACGACAGAAAAATCGACAGTAGTTTGAAGGAGACGTTACGTGACGACCATCGATCAAACGATGCGAGTTTTACCAGGTCACAGTTGACTTTGAAACAATTATCTCGACGAGCACGAAGCTATTTTCATTTTTCTTCATGCGTGCATTAGTCCTCCTCTCGCAACAGTTCAATTTGTTATTTTGGTACGAAACAGTTATCGAAGAATGATTTCAGAAGGTGTGTGTTCGATCCGTGAGGAAGGCAGCTTGCGTGAGGAGGAGTGCAAGGCGAAGGGTACACAGAGTCACCTTGTTTTCTCCTTTCGTGAACTCCCGTTCTCATTCATCCAAAGTGCGTGTCTCACCCTTCCCGCTGGCTCTAACTTCTCTTTTGCATAACAAAATGTTATGACGACGGGTATCCCCTCACTCACTAATCTCCTTTCAAAATGGAAGGAGGGCAATAGTAAGGCCTGAGCAGGAGGGGGGAGTGTCTTATATCAAACCCCGTCCTTAGAATATCTCTTTATTTCCTCATCTCCAGGGGGGGAGGGGAAGGGAAAGAAAAGAAAGATTTTGAGGAAACAGGCCGGCTTCGAGCGTTACAGGATCTCATTTTCTTATCCCAGCCCTGAGGAAAGTGGAAATCTTGAACCTAACCAGCTTCAACTCGGTAATTTGAAATTTTCGAAAGAATTTAATTACACTAGTGTAATGATCTGATCTACGTATGAAATAAAGATTCTATAGAATCTTTATTTCACACGTAGATCAGATTACACTACATTACACTATTATCATTATTACTATCATTACACTAGTAAATTAATTAGCTACTTATCTAATTTGTATA